TTTTAGCAGAGACAGGGGCGGGGAGAGGGATAAAGTATTTGAGTAATAGGAGATGTTTCTATGGGATGTTAAACTTAGAGTTACTTATTGAGTGCACTTTTATAAGGGTGGCCATCAGCTCATCGCCATTCATGCATGTGTTAGTCGTGTTTTAATTACCATCACAAATACTTGAGATACTGAACTCCCGGAAGAGAGGGTTGCTTTGGTTCCCAGTTTCAAAACTTTCAATCCACAACTAATTGCTTTGGGTCAATGGTGGCGTTTCATGGTGAGAGCATGTGGCAGAGAGAGCCATTGATCCCCAAAAGGAAAACCAAAAGAGAGTGGAAGAGAGCAGGATGCCACAGTTCCCCCCACGTGATCTAAGATTTCACACGAGGCCTACCACTTTAGAGTTCAAACCATTTCACTACAGCACCAGGCTGGGGCAGGACCTTCAACACACAGGTCCTGGGGGACTATTCAAAACCCAAATGATAATCCGGATGCTTCTTGTAATTACACCCAGCCTACAGACTTGTAACGGCCAGTCCAATTTCTATGGTAAAGAACACTGGAAAAGTAAACAGGCATCTTCTGGAGTTACTCTGGAGGAACTAGATTATACAGGGACTGGAGGAGGTGCATGGGCACGGATGCCCACTAGGACCAAAGAAAAAGAAAATTCCAAACTTGCCAAACCATTTTACCCCAATGAATGGGACCAACAACCACCTCCAATACAAGAGCGGAGCAGTTGGCTCAGTATCTGAACGAAATACACATGCCAAGACCCTTGCTGAGGCCAAACACTGAGATCAGCTGCCCACAGTTCCAGTAGGGAAACGCAACCCGTACTGCATAGCCCTCTGCCACTGGTTTTAACCAAACAGAGGTAAAAGGAAACACAGAGGAGCTGAGATCGCTTCTTCCGTCAAGGGCTTCCCACAGTGTGCCCAAGGACGACTAAGATTGCTGCTGGGGCTGAGGGTCCAGAGTAAAGGAGAGAGTAGATTACAGCTGAATATCAGAGAGTGGTTCCTGAGGTCCTGGCAAAATTGTGCAAAAAACAAGTCTCTGCCTCCCACCACTCCCTCGTCTCCTCCCCCCACCCCCGCGTCTCCTCCCACCGCTCCCGAGTCTCCTCCCCCCACCCCCGTGTCTCCTCCCACCACACTGTGTCTCCTCCCACCACTCCCATGTCTCCTCCCACCTCACTGTGTCTCCTCCCACCTCACTGTGTCTCCTCCCACCACTCCCATGTCTCCTCCCACCACTCCTGTGTCTCCTCCCACCACACTGTGTCTCCTCCCACTGCTCCTGTGTCTCCTCCCACCACTCCTGTGTCTCCTCCCACTGCTCCTGTGCCTCCTCCCACCACTCCCATGTCTCCTCCCACCACACTGTGTCTCCTCCCACCACTCCCATGTCTCCTCCCACCACACTGTGTCTCCTCCCACCACTCCTGTGTCTCCTCCCACCACTCCCTTGTCTCCTCCCCCCACCCCCGCGTCTCCTCCCACCGCTCCCGAGTCTCCTCCCCCCACCCCCGTGTCTCCTCCCACCACACTGTGTCTCCTCCCACCACTCCCATGTCTCCTCCCACCACACTGTGTCTCCTCCCACCACACTGTGTCTCCTCCCACCACTCCCATGTCTCCTCCCACCACTCCTGTGTCTCCTCCCACCACACTGTGTCTCCTCCCACTGCTCCTGTGTCTCCTCCCACCACTCCTGTGTCTCCTCCCACTGCTCCTGTGCCTCCTCCCACCACTCCCATGTCTCCTCCCACCACACTGTGTCTCCTCCCACCACTCCCATGTCTCCTCCCACCACACTGTGTCTCCTCCCACCACTCCCATGTCTCCTCCCACCTCACTGTGTCTCCTCCCACCTCACTGTGTCTCCTCCCACCACTCCCATGTCTCCTCCCACCACTCCTGTGTCTCCTCCCACCACACTGTGTCTCCTCCCACTGCTCCTGTGTCTCCTCCCACCACTCCTGTGTCTCCTCCCACTGCTCCTGTGCCTCCTCCCACCACTCCCATGTCTCCTCCCACCACACTGTGTCTCCTCCCACCACTCCCATGTCTCCTCCCACCACACTGTGTCTCCTCCCACCACTCCTGTGTCTCCTCCCACCACTCCCGAGTCTCCTCCCACCACTCCCGAGTCTCCGCCCACCATTCCCGAGTCTCCTCCCACCACCCCCGTGTCTCCTCCCACCACTCCCGCGTCTCCTCCCACCACTCCCGTTTGTGTCTTTACATAGGTCTTGGGATGGACTCAGGCCCTCCAGCTCACAGGGCAATCACTTGACCAGCTGAGCCACACCCCCCTGTCCTCTTTCCAGTCTCAGCTCTGGACTTTTCGCTCAAAACCAGTGTAGCCAACTCCTGAAACTGAGCCTACCAGTTGCCAGCTGCCACATCCCATCGTGCTTGCAAGCTGATGCACATGGAGTTTTAGCCTGACAGGAGCCTCTCTAAGACCCAGTGAGAGCACAGTCCATGCTGAAGATTCCACTTCTTAAAGACTCAAGTAAATGGTGTGCCCAGAGCTCTAAACGTCATATATACTCATTTTTGTTTCTTTTCAGATTTTCCTAACTTTAGGAAGCTAAACAGCACTAAAGTTTTAAAAATGTGACTGAATGCCAAGCAGTAGAGTCATCATTTCATTAAGAGAAATGTTTCCTCCCAAAATAATCTTTGCTAGGTGTGGTGCCACATGCCTGTAATCCCATCACTTGGAAGGCTAGGACTAAGATCAGGAGTTCAATGTCAGACTGGGCTACATGAAATTCTGTCTCAAAAAAAGTAACTTACATTATGAGCTTGATAAAAATTCCTTACTTAAGTTGGCCTTGTGATAGAGACAGGCAATTTATGGCCAGGACAAAGTGAAATGACAGTCCACTCTTGAATGCATCGGGAACCCCAGCACTTACCAGGATGACATATCTCCTATAATTTAGATCGTCTCCTAAAAGGTGTACGTGGGAAACCTCATCTCTGGCATATCTGTGTTGGATGGTCAGATCTAATGAGAGATGAGCAGGCCATGAACGCCTCACTGGGCATGGCTTGAGCATATATGAGACCTCAAAGCCCAACTCCACAGTGACACACTTCCTCCAACAAGACCACACCTATTCCAAGACCAAACCTTTAGGGTGGCCTTCCACTCCCTTTGGGGGCCATTTCTTTTCAAACCACCATACTCTCCCTCTTCCCCCAACCCCTCCTCCCCTTCTCCTCTTCCTGCATGATGAATCTTTATGCAAGACCATGACTGCCTTTTCTTTGGTAGGCAAGTGTGTCTACAAATGCAGCAGAAACGAAATCGCATGTCTCTGTAAGTGGACAGGATACAGGGTGGTAAGTACACAGATGCTCTGAACATTTTCACTGCAAGAAAATATCCTTGATGCTGCACTAAGTTGAAGCCAAGTAGCCAAACATCATGAGACTGAAAGAGCTCAGGCTCCCTTATCCCAAATAACTTACTTTTAGAGAACACTATAAGATTTCATTTAGAAAGCAGGAAAATAAGTTATTGTAGACTTTTAATATTAGAGTTGGCAAGGAAAAATGCTAAACTTCTCACTATGCAGCTGTTCTTTGCCCTTCAATTTCCTTATCCATATATGAAAATGTTCACAACTTTATTATCAGCCTCACAGATATGAGAGCCAAATAAAATAATATGTGATCAATATAAGTGTATACAAATATTAAATTTAAGGTACACTTGCTGATTGCTGTTGGCATTGTGGAAACCAATGAACTATATGTACTTGTGTTCAGTAGGCAAGAAGAGGATGAGTTCTGTGGGAAAGAAGGAAAGAGGGGAGTGTGTATTGCCAGCCAGGAGAAGGGCGTGGGCTATAAGCAAGGAAGAGGGTTGCTGTAGGCCAAGACAAGAATTTATTCTGGAGACAAGGAAAAGGCTGTGTGCTGTAGGCAAGGAGAGTTATGTGTCCGGTAGGCAAGGTGGAGTGCTTGCAGTTAATTGCAGGCAAGGAGGAGGGTGTGTGCAATGGTCAACCAGGAGAGAGAGAGAGAGAGAGAGAGAGAGAGAGAGAGAGAGAGAGAGAGAGAGAGAGAGAGAGAGTACACACTATCGGCAAAGAGACAAGATGTGTGTGCTGCATACAAGTGTCAGTCTATATGGTGCTTCCAGGATATCCATCTCTACCAGCAGTGAGTGATGTTGAATTCTTAGCAAGGGAGCATTTTTAGTTCAACTTCAATCTCAAAGACCTCCAGGAATGTTTGGGAGGCATCTATATCCATGGATAGAGGCATAGTCTTCCACTGGGCAGAACTTGAGTGTGAAAACATAAAAAAAAAACCTTCAGTGGAGGATAGTGAAGGATGAGCTCAACCTCGGGAATCCTAAAAATTGAAACAAAGTAGAAGCTGCACTACTAAGCGGAACCAATGCATGAAGAGCAGCAAAGCTAGCCTCAAACATCTGGACGTGCCTTGGAAAAGAAGAAGGAGCTATGGCAATTCTCATGGTGGAGGGGAAAAGAACGGCATGCAGAAAGTGTTTAGGCTATTATGTGAGATGTGGGTTCCTAAAATATGAGCTTGAATTGGGAACCTGTGGAGCTTGTGTTCAGGTTTCATCTTTAGGAAATGGGATGAGAAAGCGTACCCAGAAACCCACACATAGGACTGAATCTGGGAATCAAGTGATCCAAGAATGAAGAGAGGAGGCTTTCAAAGAGAGCTTAGGATATGCTTTGTATTACACGGGAGCCTTCCACAAGGTAAGGTTCCGTAAGAGTGTGCTATATATCACATGGGCACCTTCTACAAGGTCAGGTTCCATTAGAATGTTCTTTATATCACAGGGGAGCCTTCTACAAGGTCAGGTTCCATTAGAATGTGCTTTATATCACACAGGAACCTTCTACAAAGTCAAGTTCCATTAGAATGTTCTTTATATCACATGGGTGCCTTCCACAAGGTCGGGTTCCATTAGAATGTGCTTTATATCACAGAGGAGCCTTCTACAAGGTCAGGTTCCATAAGATTGTGCTTTATATCACACAAGAACCCTCCACAAGGTCAGGTTCTGTGGTTTGGGGGGATACCAACTCCACTTCCAAGGCTGGTAAGATATATAGTATCTTTTTTTTTTAATTAGAGGAGCATTCAGGAAGCAGCGATGAAGAGAAGACTGAATGGTGATTTTTCAAGTCAATTCACTGAGTTTAATCTTTTTTTTTCTTTCAGTTGAGAATTAGTGGCCAGACCAACAAAAACTTAAAAAGCTGGAATGGAGAACGCCATGGTTCCTGTCCCAGACCCACCCACTAGCTGAAGTCATTGAGTCTGTTAGTGTCCATATTTGTTTCCTTGTGTTGACAATGGTGAGATTAAGTGGGTTTCTTCCTGAGATTTCTCCTACTGTGGGGTTAAACGGAAGGTTTTGAAAGACCCCAGACGGGGGGGGGGGAGGGGGGACTTTCCCGGGAGGGAGACCCGAACCCAAGGAACAACGAGACCACGAGCTTGGATGCAACAGCAAGAGGCTTTATTTACACACGGGTACCCGGGCGTCTCAGTCTTGGGGGGCTGAGCGCCCCGAGCTGGGGACTCGGGGATTCTTTTATAGCAAAAAAGCGCAGTACAGAAGCGAGAAGCCTAGTTACAGGACCCTGATTGGGCAATTTAAATGAGGCTGGGGCTCAGAACGAGGGCAATTGAGGTTTTGCTTGGAACTCAAGTCTCGGCCTTGGCCCTATCTGAGGAACAATAGGTCTCTGTGCTTGCCCAATCTTGCTGGGCTGGCTATGCAGACAGCAGACACCTGTGTCCCTGGGCAGAGTTCCCTTCTGATAGTAGTGACTATTCAGCCATTCAGCCATTAGGACCTTGAGCTGAGCTACCTTCTAATAAAAAAAATGACTATTCAGCTGAGCTGTGGGGGAAACGGAATTTTCCATAAGCCTCAGCTGCCTGTGTATACTGGGCCGGGGTCTTTCATTCCCCCATTGCTCTTGTAACTGAATGGAATCTTTCATTCAAGGGTTTCTGCCATCTCGAGATCCCTTTGCTTTAGCTGCTGGTATTGTTGAGTCAAGACCAGTGATTGTACAACTGATAACCTTTCTTTTATGAACTGGGTCAATCTGCTTAAGATGCATGGCCCAAACATCAGAATCAAAAGTATAATGATCAGGGGTCCCATAATGGTGGATATGAGAGTCGAATACCAAGGGGACCTTATACCAGTTCTGAAACCATCCCTGTTGGGACTCAATTAGTTGTTGGTACTTTTGGCGTCTTTCTTTTATTTTAGCCAGGTTGTCTCTTACCACTCCGGTATGGTCTGCATAAAAGCAGCATTCTTCTTTAAGGGCCGCACAAATTCCCCCCTGCTGTAAAAATAAGAGGTCTAGTCCCCTTCTATTTTGGAGGGCTACTTCTGCCAGGGAGGACAGGGACTTCTCCAGGGCAGTGACAGATTCCTCTAAAGACCGAATATCTGCACGCATTACTTGTTGTAGGAGTTGGAACTGTTTAGTTTCCTGCAGTGCGACAGTACCGGTTCCTATTCCTGCTGCTATGCCTCCCATGGTTAATCCCCCTAGTAGGATGGCAGTAGTGATGGAGATAGGTTCCCTCTTACTGCGGCCAGTTCTTATCAAGTCATAGTCAGAGGGGTGGTAAATTACCTTAGGCCATAATTCGATCAGAACACAATAATCAACGGTGGCATCTAGTACCGTGGTGGAGACACAAGGGGTTAATCCAGTGTTGCATGCCCAATATGTCCCATTGGGGGCTATCAAGTAGCGGCCACTTTGGGGCAAAGGCTCAGTGGCATTGCATAGTCCTTGATGCGTGGCGGGGACTTTACCTATACACAGCCCCTTTCCAGACACTTCTGAGATGGTCAATTTATGTTGCATGGCTGTCCCACAAAGAGCCTCGGCTGTGGCCTGATTTGTATATTTGCCCACAACCGCTAAGCCTTCATAATAGGGAGGTTGCGGAGTCAGACAAAGCCAGCATTCCTTAGTCTTATCTGGGCTAGTTAAATTCAGAGTGGCATATGTCCCTTGGATCAGGGCTAATATTCTATTTCCCGTGCCTTTAAGGGGGGGGACCCGAGGAGGGGGGTTTGGGAGTGCTTTCTGTAGGCGCGGGAGCAGCTGTGGTTTTAGGCAAGGTCAGGGGCCTGGTATCAGCCTTGGGCATGAGTAGGCTAGGCTGCTTTTGATCAGCAAGGACCTGGTTAGGGCCTATGGCCTGTGGATTGACAGGAGCCACCTTACATCTGATTTTGAAGATTACCCCCCCTGTCTGGCCCGTATAGATACCAACGCAAACCCCAGGTATACCCAGTCTGCCAGTCCGGGGCTTGCTTTCCCTGCGCAGTGAAGGAAATGACAAGGGGCATACTTATCATTCCAGGTTGTCCTTTGTCCCAGCCTCTGCGTACTTGTATTTTATCCCAGGATGAGGATGGCCTCCAATATGCGTCCCCTGTAGTCTCGCACCCCCAAGCTGCACAGAAAAAGTAATCATGTCCCCCACATTTCCGGGCCTGTTGCCAGGTACGTCCATCTTGGGGGCAGACATAGAAGTCCTGTGAATTTAGCTGCTCTCTGGCTCTGCGACTAACACACCCGGGGGTGGTTTCTCTGGAGTCCATGAGTGCACGTCGACGTCTGTAAAAGTGGGAACCACTGGCGCATGCCTTTGGGTGGCAATGGGGAATGTCCCAAGTGTCCAACCCTGCTACTAAATCACAAAATTCAGGCCATAGAGTAGGCCACCATGTCCCAAGTGCATGTGGTTCCGTGACAGCATAAATGACCTCCCCCACTTGGGAGAGAACCTCCCAGGTTAATTTATAAACGGTATGGGGACTGGAGGCCACACCAGTGTTTGATTTTATGAGGAGGGCTATTAGCAGGAGGGAGAGGAGCGGGTAAGTTTTATTTTTAAAGGATTTTGAGTGCGTTGAGCTTTCCATCCTGAGTCCGGTTCCTCAGGGAAGGCAGCTTTTACGTGCAAGGCGTGTATCCAAGCAGCAATCCTGTCCACCTTGAGAGCAGTAGGGGTGGTCAACAGGACCATGTATGGTCCCTTCCAGCGGGGTTCAAGGTTCTTAGCCTGGTGGCGCCGGACCCAAACGCTGTCTCCCACGTGGTAGGAGTGAGGGACGATAGGGTGTCTCCTCTGGTCTCGGTAGGCTTGGGCCAGAGGCTTCCAGACTTCCTGTTGGACCAGCTGGAGTGCCTGCAGGTGAGCTTGAAGAGAGGAGGAATTGGCATAGTCAGAAATATCTTGGTCAAAGAACTGAACAAAGGGAATGGTGGTTCCATATAAAATTTCAAAAGGGGTGAGGCCATGGGGGCCCGGTGTATTCCGGGCACGATAGAGGGCAAGGGGGAGCAAGAGGACCCAGTCTTTAGTGCCAGCTGCAAGCGATAATTTAGTTATAGTCTCCTTAATGGTTCTATTCATTCGCTCTACCTGTCCTGAGCTTTGGGGTCGGTAAGTACAATGTAATTTCCAATCAATCCCCAACAAGGTGGCCACAGACTGACTTACCTGAGAAACAAAGGCAGGCCCGTTGTCTGTCCCCAATACCTGTGGCATTCCGTAACGGGGGAAGATTTCTTCAAGAAGTTTCTTGGTGACCACCTTCGCCGTCTCGTGCTTGGTGGGGTAGGCTTCAGTCCATCCTGAGAAGGTGTCAACAAAAACCAGGAGGTACTTGTATCCATATTTTCCTGGTTTGATTTCTGTGAAATCTATTTCCCAATGCACCCCAGGCCGGTGCCCACGAGTCCCCATGGGTAGCTTTAGCCTGGTCGCATTGACGCGGGCGCAGGCGTCACATTGCTCAGTCACTTGTTTTATTATTTCTTCTATTCCCAACAGATGGCGAGTATTTTCTTCCCGGGCTAATAGTTCTCGCATTTTCCTGGAGCTCAAATGAGTGAGTTTGTGTAGGCTGTTAACCAGATATCTAGTCATTAGGCGGGGAAGGACAGTTTTTCCTTGATAGGTCCAGAGCCCATCATGTACTCGGGTCGCCCCCAGTCTTTTCATGGCCTTGATGTCTTTTATCTCATAGTCCCATGACGGGGAGGTCTTCTCGGAAGCCTCATTAGTTACAGGGACTACAGCTGCCTGGAGGAGGTGACTGCTGCTTTCCATGGCCAGGGCAGCCTCCCGGGCGGCCAGGTCTGCCCTCCGGTTTCCCCGGGCGACTGGGCTGTCGCCTTTCTGATGCCCTGGGCAATGTATAATACTGAGGGCGATTGGCAGGTGCAGAGCCTCTAAGAGGGCCAGGATTTCCTTTTTGTTTTTAATGTCTCTGCCCTCTGAGGTCAATAGCCCCCTTCGCCTATAAATTTCACCATGGATGTGAGCGGTGGCAAAAGCATAGCGGCTGTCTGTGTAGACAGTGAGTTTCTTACCTTCTGCCAGTCTCAGGGCCTGTGTTAAGGCAATCAGTTCTGCTCGTTGAGCCGATGTTCCTGGCGGCAGGGCCTCGGCCCAAATTGTTTCTGACTCAGTTGTCACTGCAGCACCGGCTTTCCGCTCCCCTTGATGTACAAAGCTGCTTCCGTCCGTGAACCAGACATGGTCGGGGTTGGGAAGGGGTTGATCCGTGAGGTCAGCTCTCGTCCCATGGACCTCAGCCAGGACCTACAAGCAGTCATGAGTCTCTGTTTCCCCAGGAAGGGGAAGTAGCGAGGCGGGGTTCAGGGTCACTGGAGCCCCGAAGTGAATTCGGTCCTTGTCCAGCAACAAAGTCTGGTAATGAGTCATCCTGGCATTGGTGAGCCAGCGGCCCGGTGGCTGCCTGATGACCGCCTCCATAGCATGGGGGGCATAGATAGTCAAAGGCTGCCCCAAAGTCAATCTGTGAGAGTCCTTTATGAGAACTGTGGTGGCGGCGATCATGCGGAGACATGGGGGCCATCCTGACGCTACGGGGTCCAATCTCTTAGATAGGTAGGCGACCGGTCGTCTCCAGGGCCCAAGTTTTTGAGTTAGGACCCCCTTCGCATAACCCTCTTGCTCAGCCACGAATAAGTCCAAGGGTTTAGTCAGATCAGGTAACCCCAGAGCTGGGGAGCAGAGCAGAGCCTTCTTGATGTCCATGAAGGCTTTTTCCTGGCTCTCCCCCCAGTCAAAGGCAGCCCCGTCTTGGTGAGGGGGTACAGGGGTGCTGCCATTTCCGCAAACCCGGGGATCCACAGTCTACAGAAACCTGCCGTTCCCAAGAATTCCCGCAGTTTTCGGGGGGTCTTGGGAGGAGGGATGTTAAGTATGGCCTGTTTGCGGGCTTCTGTTAGCCAACGTTTTCCATCCTGGATTTTGTACCCCAAGTAGGTGACCTGTGTCCGGCAGATTTGGGCCTTCTTGGCAGAGGCCCTATACCCCAAGTCTCCTAAAGTCTTTAAGAGAGCTTCTGTCCCCCTAAGGCATTCCTCCTCTGTTTTGGTGGCTATCAGGATGTCATCCACATATTGTAAGAGGATGACCTCAGGGTGGTGGACTCTAAATCCGGCCAAATCCTGATGCAAGGCCTCATCAAAGAGGGTGGGGCTACTTTTGAACCCTTGGGGCAACCTAGTCCATGTAAGTTGTCCCGAGATTCCCAGGTCTGCATCCTGCCATTCAAAGGCAAACAGTGGCTGACTGTCTTTGTGTAACCGCAGGCAGAAGAAGGCATCCTTTAAATCCAGGACTGAGTACTATACATAGTCAGGTGGCAGTCCACTCAGGAGGTTATAGGGATTGGGGACCGTGGGGTGTATGTCCTCAACCCGCTTATTGACTTCCCGGAGGTCCTGGACCGGCCTATAGTCATTGGTTCCGGGCTTCTTGACTGGCAACAGGGGAGTGTTCCAGGGGGACCGGCAGGGAGTTAGAATGCCCTGCTCCAGTAGCCTCCTAATGTGAGGTTTGATCCCATCGCGGGCCTCCCGGGACATGGGATATTGTTTAATTGAGGCCGGGAGAGCAGATGCCTTTAAATGGACTATGATGGGAGCCTGCTGGAGGGCTAGTCCCATTCCTCCAGTCTCTGCCCAGGACTGGGGAAAGTCAGTCAGCCAGCGGTCCTCGACCTTAAAAGAGTCATCCTTGGGCTCATGTATTCTATATTCCTCTTCTAAGGCTATGGTCAGCACCGTGAGTGGGGCCCCTTCTGGCCCCGTGACTCTTATGTTGGCTTTCTCGAAATGTACTTGAGCCTTTAACTTCGTTAGGAGGTCTCTACCCAGGAGGGGTATGGACAGTCAGGAACATGTAAAAGGAGTGCATCACCTTACCGGTCGCTAGGTGGAGCTGGCGGTCCGTGGTCCATCGATATTGTTTCCCGCCGGTGGCCCCTTGTACCCAGGCAGTTCGGCGGCTCAGGGGGCCGGGTGACCGATTTAGAACAGAGTGTTGAGCCCCCGTGGCGACCAGGAAGGTAACCGGGCGCCCCCCTACTGGTATGGTTATCCGGGGCTCAGGGGGGCTCCTGGCCCTGACCTCCCTAATCTTCGAGGCTCAGGAGGTCAGAGGTCTGAGAATGGGGTTTGGGCCTTTGAAATGTCCTTCTTTGTTTCTTGTTCTTGGGGCATTCTCTAGCCCAGTGTCCTCTCTCCTTGCAATATGCACATTGGTCTCTTTCTAGGCGAGGCCCCCTTTGTCCCTCTCTCTGCCTATCCTGTCTCTGCTCTGCGACTACTGTGGCCAACAGTTTAGTCATTTCTCTATTACGCTTCTTTTCCCTCTCTATCTCCCTCTCTTCCATTTCCTGTCTCTGACGTTCTGCCCTTTCTTGGTCCTCTTTTCTCCATCTCTCTTCCCTTTCCTCCTGTGTTTCTCTCTTGTTAAAGATGCGCTCCGCCTCTTTTAATATATCTGGTAGAGTATAACCCTGTAAATTCTCTAGCCGCTGCAATTTGTTTCTAATGTCAGCGGCCGACTGCCAAATGAAGGACATGGTCAGGCTAGTAGCTTGCCCGGGGTCCTCAGGGTCATATGGGGTATACATTCTGTAAGCTTCCTTAAGTCTTTCTAAAAATGCGGCTGGCGATTCCTCTGCCTTCTGAACTATCTGTCTTACCTGGGCCAAATTGGTAGGGCGCTTACCTGCCCCTCGGAGACCCGCTACAAGCAACTGGCGATAAAGACATAGATGGGTCCTACCTGCCTCAGTGGTGAAGTCCCAGTCTGGGCGGTCGAGGGGGAAAGCAGCATCAATTTCATTTGGAAGCTGCGTAGGTTGTCCATTTGCCCCAGGAACATTCTTCCGGGCTTCAAGAAGGACCCGCTGTTTTTCCTCCGAAGTGAGGAGGACCTGTAAAAGCTGTTGGCAATCGTCCCAGGTGGGCTGATGGGTAGTAAGAACCGACTCCAATAGATCAGTCAGTCTCACAGGATCTGCTGAAAAGGAGGGGTTATTATTTTTCCAGTTATAAAGATCAGAGGCAGAAAACGGCCAGTACTGTAATTGGCCATCATGGCCCGTCCGGAGGGGCAGGGCAGTGGAATCCGGAGCGGGCTGCTCCCTGCGGCCTCGCAGTCTAGAGGCCATAGGTGAGGGCTCCGGGTCGGTGGGAGGCGAAGGTTGGGCCTCGGCTGCTGCTGCTGCTGCCTGCTGACCTGCCAGAGGAGCCTGGTACAGTGGGGGTTCCTCCGTCAGTAGATCCAACAGGAGACCGTCTTCTGGAGGGAGGACTTTGGGGTCTCCTTTTTTCTCTTTCTGCTTAGTTACGGTGGGGTACAGGCCAGAATGGGAGGACTGAGGATGCGGGGAGGGGGTCAAAGGGGGCGGAAGGGGGGTGCGGATGGTTTGGAATTGGCGGGGGTTAGGGAAGAGGAGGAGGGGGCCCTCCGGGGTGCACAAAGGGGCGCGCCCAGGTAGGAGGGTTATGAACTAACGCTTCCCAGGTGACTATATAGGGTACTTGGTCCGGACGGCCGTGGGGCCCAGGATCCATCACTTTCTCTTTCACCTGGAAGATAATTTGAGAGTTAAAGGTGCCATCTCGGGGCCAGCCAACATTAAAAGCTGGCCACTCGGAAGAGCAAAAGGTGATCCATTCCTTCTTGCGCACATCGACAGACCGGTTATGAGCATACTCCTGAACCTGTGGCCAATGTGAAAGGGTCAGACTGAGCGGAGTGGTAACTGTCTGGCCCATCTTCTCGAGAGCGATGACTAAGACGAACGAACAAATAAGAAACAAAAACGAACAGATTTTCGCTGCGCGGCTTTGACGTAAAGTCAAAAGCAAAACTTCAGTTGGGCTCCAAGACGGGGGCCTCGTGCTCCCGTCCTCGTCCCCTACAAGGATGGAAAATCCCAGCGGGACTTCCCCAAACAAACGGGGCAGATTCCTAGACATCTACCCCTAACCCAAATGAGTCCTTAAGGACTCCAAATGCTACCAGGACGTCTCCTGGAGCTGCGGTCGGGAGTACGAACCCGTCAGTTCCTCCTCGGTGCCGCCAAATACAAATGTATACAGCTGTATACTACAAACGCAGGCGCGAGAAAATAACAGGCATAGACAGACAGCAGACAACAGAAACAACAGAAATTGAGTCCGGACAATTCTTACCTCCCAGAAGTGGGTCGGTGGTCCCTGGGCGGGGGTCTCAAGCTTCCCGGCCAATGCACCAAATGAAAGACCCCAAGACGGGGGGGACTTTCACGGGAGGGAGACCCGAACCCAAGGAACAACGAGACCACGAGCTTGGATGCAACAGCAAGAGGCTTTATTTACACACGGGTACCCGGGCGTCTCAGTCTTGGGGGGCTGAGCACCCCGAGCTGGGGACTCGGGGATTCTTTTATAGCAAAAAGCGCAGTACAGAAGCGAGAAGCCTAGTTACAGGACCCTGATTGGGCAATTTAAATGAGGCTGGGGCTCAGAACGAGGGCAATTGAGGTTTTGCTTGGAACTCAAGTCTCGGCCTTGGCCCTATCTGAGGAACAATAGGTCTCTGTGCTTGCCCAATCTTGCTGGGCTGGCTATGCAGACAGCAGACACCTGTGTCCCTGGGCAGAGTTCCCTTCTGATAGTAGTGACTATTCAGCCATTCAGCCATTAGGACCTTGAGCTGAGCTACCTTCTAATAAAAAAAAATGACTATTCAGCTGAGCTGTGGGGGAAACGGAATTTTCCATAAGCCTCAGCTGCCTGTGTATACTGGGCCGGGGTCTTTCAGTTTGAAGAGTGTTTTCAATGGTTCTCCAGTTGCCACTCCTAGCTCTGTGGCGCTGTGAAACTTTAACTCTTGGGTCCAGGCAATCGTGTCTGTGGAGGGAATTAATCTGTGTATAAGATTCTTGGAAACAGGCTCTGGTTTTTCACTTTTGTATGAGACGGTTTGTCAAGCATCAACGTCACCATCAGACAGGAGACTGAAAACTGTGGAATCCACTGTTCTGAATCAACTCACTAGGAAATCCCATTTGAGCCTATAGCAGCGAGAACTGCCCGAGGGGGATGACTCCGAGATGCAGGGCAGCTTGCAAGTTTTGAGTTCTATGGAGTGCCTGCATGCGTGCGTGTGTTCGGGGTCCTTGTTTCCAGGAGTTCTGCTCAGAAAGCACTTTTCCATCAAGGAATCACATATAAGTGCGAGTCCAATGCCTGGAGAAGTGCACACCAATGTGCAGAAACTAAACACGGTCTGTGTTCATGAGAAAGAGGCTGACGGAGGTGGCGGGGGGGGAGATAGCGAGAGTTAGTCTTCCAGGAGATCACAAACAGGTGAAACTCGCATTGCATGGGAGGCTGTCCTGAACTCTATCGGTTAAGTTGATGTGAGTGATTTAATCAAATTCAGAAGAGCTGCAAACATTTGTGCGAGACGCAGGAGCTGTTTGCATTGACACAGTGCCTCACCCCAGCTCTGCACACTCGGGTTTTACAGGTGGTGGAGGTTCTGAGACCCTGACTGCCCATCTTTACAATAGCAGGGTATGTCCCGACACTCCAGGAGCCTTACTTCGACCTCAGATGCTTTCCTCAACAACCGCAACCTACCTCACGTCGTTGTCATCACACGCTCATTTCAAAGAAAGTTAGTCCACGGCCGAAAGACACAAGAAGCAACCAGAGAATTCTGTGTTTGGAAGATAACTGTTCCAAACTCCTGGAAGCCATGAAAATTTGTTGGCATCAAGAAAATGTGCACTGAGGTTGATACTAGGTCCCTGGAGATGCCAAATGGCACATGGGGACATTAGTTTCATCCCAACTGCTTTTGGAAAATCCACGCAAACATCAAATTAAGCAAAACTTGGCAAAATCTAGCCTAGAATCCTATATGAAATAAAAGCCAATGGGGATGGAATCTGTGGAAAGGGTGGAGGTTTTTCTACTCAAACACTTCCCTCCAGCACACACTTGTTTCTGGAGAGCTGTGATCCAAAACCCGCCAAGCCTACTCCCTGGAGGCAGACCCGCCTCATCTGCTCCTACTTGGAGCTCTGATAGGGACTTGTCAGTGTAGCAGTTGGGAGGGCAAATCTGTGCAAAGTGCTATCTTGAAAATGTAGAGGACTTAATGATTGCATTACAAGGGCTCATTTCCCATGTCTTGCATCAGAAAGATTTATGAAGCTGTGTGGCCATGCCGGTAACTGATGTTTTCAATGAAGAATAATCTAATTTCCCAGGGAAATTCACACTGATGTGACCTAGAGACATTTCTGTTTTGTCACAACAGCATTTAATTTGAGCTGAAATTAGCCAGAATTACACCATGTTCCTGGCAAACTCCATGCTCCAAAAATATCACCATAGTAACACGTGTATTCTATCAACAACTCTCCTTTCGTATTTTTTAGCTTCTCATTCTATCAATGGTCCTGAGATGGATGAAGGAGCTCATGTTGGATGCCAGCAGTGGCTATGTCAGTGGTTCTCAACCCCCCTAATGCTTCGACCCCTTAATATTAATATAGGTCATCACAAGGTGGTGACCCCCAACCATAAAGTTAGTTCGTTGCTGCTTCCTAACTATAATTTTGCTACTGTTATGAATCACACTATAAATATTTGATATGCAGGATATCTTATATATGATTCCCAACGGGGTAGAGACCCACAGGTTAAGAACCTCAAGGTATTTGTAACACAATTAAAATGACACATAGGGTTGGGTTTTCTTTTTTAATATTTTCATTTCTCAAGGAAATAGCAACTTGCTCTTGAGGCCAGATCAGATTCACAGATTCCGTGAGAGAGATGTTTTGTCTGGCTAAGTGTTGAAAGTCATTTTCTTCATTCTATGAAAGTACAGGTGAATTCCAAGGCATTAGGTCTCCACTGACCATGAGCAGGTAAATTTTCAACGCTCTTTAATCTAAAAGTGAAGGCTTCTCTGAAAGCCCACGCTCTCACAGAGGTTCAGTTCTTGCTGCCACAGTCGAAGCAAAAAACACTTTCGATTGTTCATATGAAACTGTATAGCCGACCCTTCAGGGTTTAAAGCAATTCATTTTCTCCCTTCACCAGACACGTTTGCCAAATGTTTACAGAAGTAGCGCTGTGTACAGAAGCAGATTTGAAAATGGTAATTAAATTTATTAAAGCAGCCCAGGTTAGTTACAGTACAAAAAGAAAGAGAGAAAAGACAGAATGAGACATTAATACTTCACTGTCATTGGTTCTTAGACATGGGGCACTGGACAACTGAGTTTTGAGGAAAATAACAATCATTGGTTGGTCTTTCTGAAAAGAGAGCCACAGTTATACAATGCTGAATACAAGTGTACATATGCCATGGGTAAAAGGTGATAATAGAAGATGAAAAAATAATTTTTAAACCTGCAGTGTTGGGGCTGTGGAGATGGCTCTGTCAGTTAAGCGCTTGGCTTGTGAGAACCAGGACCTGAGCTCTATCCATAGAATCCACATAAAAAAGGCTAGGCATGTTGACAGTATGCTTGTAAATCCAGCACTCGGACAGGGGACAGGAGGATCCTGGGGCTCGCTGGTCAGTCAACTTAGCCTCCATGGCAAGATCCTAGCATTGAGAGACCCTGTCTCAAGAAATCAAGGTGGACAGCTCCTAAGGAAGGCTACCCAAAGTTGTTATTTGGCCTTCAATACATGCCCACACACGTGCATGTGCACCGACACATTCCACGCATGCGCATGCTCAGTCAAAAGCTTGGCTAAGTATTAAAAGACATTCATCTGAACGCTTGACCTACTCCGTAGTGAGCATGTGCAAATGCTTTGGTTTTCTGTCTGGTAAGCTTCAGCTTGATGCCATTAGGAATGAAGAAAGCTTGTTCTGTATAAAACGATCGCATTTGATTAATCATGTTCAGAGCAGATGAGCAATGAGCTTTTCAAAGATGTGAACTCTATCTTTATGTTGTTGTCACTGCCCGTAGATTAATGACCTCGAAAGCAAAGCAATACATGGAAAGTCATTTATTCTTCAGTTTGACTTGAACTCCTGAACTGTATTGCAACTCTTTTTCACTTGGAACAACATACTTCATGTGCTCTGTTGGCCTCATTTGAAATAATTTCTTGTTTGTTGCTCTGTTTGTTATCTTTCTGGTTACTTGTATCTCATTCCACTAAGTTTACAGCAATGTGGACAGTGACCCACATTTCATTTCCTTTAGTAGACTTATTCTTCATTCTTTGCTAAACAGTCATTCAGAACTTGTGGGAAACTTTGACGTGAAGACAGTTGCTTTTTTATTATTTATTTAAAGCTGTGATAGTAGAAAGACTTCCTTTTGGTATAGACTTCATTTATTCACTGTCTAATTAATAAATTTGTTGTGATAAGTGTGGTGTGTGTGTGTGTGTGTGTGTGTGTGTGTGTGTGTGTGTGTGAGAACAGCTGTGATTGGATGGTTTAGACACACAGAGTATCAACAGCCAGAGCACTAAGAAAGCACATGGACATAGTTTAGATTGGAGAGCTGGGAAAGTCTCAGAAATGTTATGTGATAATTGAAAGGTAGTCAAAGTTAGACAAAGAAAGTGAGTAGACGGGATGATAGCTGATAAATAGGATGAGTGTGTTTATACATGACGCGTATGGTGTGATTCTTCTTATGCATGTTTGTGTGGTATGTATAGTGAGATGTGAATGTGTTATATGTGTCTATGTGGTATGTATAATATTGTGTGTGTGATATGTATAATATAGTGTATGGATGTGTTCATATAGCGTATATAGTGTAGAGTGCATATTATGAGTGTCCTTGTAACATATATATATATATTTATATACATGTGTGTGTGTGTGTGTGTGGTGTAGTCAGTTCTTATGTATATGTGCATGTGGTATAGTACGGTGTGTGTATCTGTTCATAAGTGGCATGAACAGTACAGTGTATATATCTATATTATGTTCATTTTGTGGTGTACATAGTGTGGTGTGTTGTGGTGTGTGTGTGTGTGTGTGTGTGTGTGTGTGTGTGTTTCTGGCTACATTTGAGCAAATGACTCAATTGATTCTGTACCACAGGAATTAGGAAAACATTGAGGTCAAAGAGATGATGAGGATCAGAGACACAGAGACCCATAGCATTATTAAGAGGTTTGCATTTCATTCTAAGGGTAACATGGCATAACATAACTTGGGACGCTCCAGAGTGACATGTGTGTTATGTTTAAAAAGCGTACTTCTTCTGGTTACTCCACTAACAATGAATCAGAGGAAAGCAAGAGTAGACACAAGAAATCTCTATGAAAAGTGCAGTTCAAGCAAGATATGATGGAGGTTTGACTGGGGTTGTGCCACCTAAGACAGAGAAAAATGGACAAAGTTAGGCCTGTATATTAGAAATAAATAACGAAACTTGGGGAGTCACTGAATGAACCCGTCAGATTACTTCTGGACTTGTTATGATGAGGAAGAGTCACCTCTCATTCTCTCCACTTTCTGGTGTTCACTGCCTTTTGTAACCCCTCCCCTAGTGTGACAGACATGGCCAGTACAATCAATAGATTGTGGCAGAAGAGATGGCCTGTGGTTCCTGAGGCAGGATTGTAGGAGGCTTGGGCCTTACTGACTCCCCCTTGGATCACTTGCTGTGAAAAAAAAAGCATCTCAACAAAGAGTCTTGCATGCAGATAAATCACTGAGGACCCTTACCAACAACTGCATCCTGGAACTGAGGCTCCTGCAGATTCCATAGGACTGGCCAGTTACAACTGCATCCTGCAGATTTCGTATGGCTGGCCAGTTTGGAAGGCACATCTTCCCACTCCTCTGAACCTAGATGGCTATGGCCCACAGCATTGTATGGAAGGAGCTAAGCTCCTCTGAGGTCTTTGTGCAGCCCACAGTGCATCGGAACCTGTTCCTTCGAGTCACTAGCTTAGCAGACATGTGCTCTATTGCAACAGATAAATAACACATTTGCTTCAACAGTTGAGGAAATCAGTCAGCAACCTGCTTGAAGACTAAGGGAAGGATGGGCTCATAGAAAATTGTCAAGGGTTAAGATTTTTAAAACTGATACAAAATAATTTTTATGGTGCTGGAGACTGACCCAGGGGTAGCATTACAGCTATTAAAGGAATAAAAATTATTTATATGATCAGTGTATCAAAAACACTTCCATACATGTACATACTCTGTAATGTTTATGTCCAGTTAAGTATATCTGGCTACTCAAATAATTACTATTTCACCTTATGAAACATTGAAATCCTTTTCTTCCAGGTGTTGAAATGTATAGGACCTAATTTTTACCTACTATGCTGTAGCAAGCCAGACGGTCTTGGTCCTGTAAGACTTAGGTTTACACATAAAGAACTGTGTGCACGTTCCCTGGAGTAGTCTAACATTGACAGCTTGTGGAGATCCAGGAATGTGAACTGAGCTAGTGATGTAGATCTGGGGATTACAAACTCAGGGTCATAGCTTGACGTTGGTGGCACACGCCTTTAATCCCAGCACTCGGGAGGCAGAGGCAGGCGGATCTCTGTGAGTTCGAGGCCAACCTGGTCTACAGAGCGAGGTCCAGGACAGCCTCCAAAGCAATACAAAGAAACCCTGTCTTGAAAACCAAAAACAAACAAGCAAACAAACAATACTCAAGGTCAGTAATTTCCACCATTCGAGCATGTGTGAGAGAACCTGACATTCCAAGAGAGAGGCTCTGTTAGTTCAGCTGTCTGTCTGCACGCCTTCTGTTTCAGCCCACTCTGATTTCCTCCTTGCGTTAGACACTGTCAGGGTGAGTAACTAACTCTTCCACAGCTTTCCACAGTCTTGACAGCCTGCACAGAGATTCTCTGGTGTGTGTCACTCAACAGTCAGCGCTCACGCACATGTCACCAGCTACCGTCCTTGGA